ATCAATATGAAAAAAAAAAAAAAAAACGGAGGGGAAAATGTAAAGAAGATGGGCCAAACTCTTCCTGGTGCTGGTCAGTGACAGGACGAGGGGTAATGGGTGTAAGTTGAAACCCAGGAAGTTCAACCTCCATGTGAGGAAGAACTTCCTTACTGTGAGGGTGACAGAGCCCTGGAACAGGCTGCCCAGAGAGGTTGTGGAGTCTCCTTCTCTGGGGATCTTCCAAACCCGCCTGGATGCCACCCTGTGCCACGTGCTCTGGGTGCCCCTGCTGGAGCAGGGGGGTTGGCCTAGATGATCTCTAGAGGTCCCTTCCAACCTCAACCCTTCTGTGACTCTGTGCCCCAGCACGGTTCTTCATGTCATTAAAAATGCACTGCCAGTCAGGAACTGAAACAAATTCTACGTGTACACAGAAGTAGATCCATCTGCAAGTAATCTGATCGGTGTAAAAAAATACGTAATGCCTGTCACAATCTAAGAGGCTGAGAAAACAGTTCTGTTGAAGTTCTGCAAGTAATAGTGGATAAACAGACAGGAAGAAAGGAAGGAACAAAGGGTAGAGGATTTCATAATCCAGCAGAAAATAGAGATTTGAGATACTAGATGAAATGATCTTAATTCATGTATGTTTATACATTGCTTCCTTGTGCAGTTACATGATTTTCAACATTCAGCACACAAAACCTCTTCCTTGCATGTGTACACGACTTACTGCCTGTGCTTCTTATTCTGTAAAATGTATTAAGTACTTCAAATTACATTGCAATTTTATGCTCGAACAACAGAATTATTTGTAATTCTCTCTCTTTTTTTAAACGGATAAGGAGATTACTAACTCAAATTAGCAAACAGTTATTTTACTTTCAAATTACAAAGCATTTTTTGTTGTTGCAGATCAACAAATGTTAGTTGTCATTTATCAAATTTATGGGCAAAATTCAGATCCTGTTTAATTCAGTGGCAAAGCTGCTGTGTATAGCAGAAAAGATTAACATTTTGTACTTTAATACACTGATAAAATTATAATAAAATGAACCTCTAACGCCCTTATTCAAAAATATCACATTGGAATGACTTTTGCTTAGCATCAAAAGAAAGCTTCGCTTTTTTTCTCTTCTCCAGCTCTTGCTATCCTCAAGTGATGCGGCACATTTCTCGATGTGTACATTGCCACCTGCTCTGATTAAAAAGCAGTTTAGTGCAGTGTAGCTATTCTGAAAAATAGTTCTGAAGCGCAGAACTGTTAGTATTATTGCAGGCTTTCCTAGGCAACTACATGCTAGTTATGTTGCCACTCTCTACAGTGTCTTTTGGGTGTTATGCTGAAGTAAATTGACACCCTAAGACTTTTCCTTTTTGCTTTTGATTTGTCCCCAGCACTACTTCTGCACTTAACAGGAGACAGCCATTGCGTATATGGAACACAAGTCAGGGGCAAAAATCAAGCAAGGACAGAGCCTGAGTGCTGGCATTACTTGTCTTTTTCAGATGTGACTTTCCATTTTCTGTATTAATCTACTTCTTCCTGCCAGGCAGCCCCTCCCTCCACCTAGTGATGGAAATATTCCACATTAGTTAACAACCCGCAAGCATCAGGCAGCTTGAGTCCCTTTCCATGCCCCTCTCCCCCCAGCATAAAGGCCATTCACATTCTACTAGTATTTCACTTTATAGAATCACAGAATGGTCGAGGTTGGAAGGGACCTCTAGAGACCATCTAGGCCAACCCCCTGCTCCAGCAGGGACACCCAGAGCACATGGCACAGGGTGGCATCCAGGCGGGTTTGGAAGATCTCCAGAGAAGGAGAGTCCACAACCTCTCTGGGCAACCACTAGCGAGCAGTGACTCTCCTACATTAAACTCTCATATAAACGATAAGTTTCCATCTACGGGCTTTTCCTGACGTTAGAGGCGGTGTCAGTCACCGCGAACGACCGGCCGCCGCGCGGAGCAGCGGAGCAACGGCGCAAACGGCGGCGGAACGGGAGCGCCGCCCGCCTCCGCCCCGCCGCGGGGCACGGGGCGGCCCGAGGCGGAGCAGCTCCTGCTGCACCCGGAGCTGCTCTCGGAGGAGTTCCTGCTGCTCACGCTGGAGCAGGTGCGCCCGGGGGCCGGCGCCGCCGTGTCCCCGAGCAGGGCGTGGGAGACAGCCGGGGCTGGGCCCAGCTTGGCCTGGGGTAGGGAGGAAGGGGGTAGGGGGAGGCCTGGCGGGACCCCCGGCCCGACCTGGCCCTGTTTCCTACATCGTTCTCCGCCCTGGGCCCGGCGTGTTTGATTTTCTGTCTTTTTATTTCCTCCGGAGGGAAACGCCCCCTTTCCCCATCACCTTTATGGTTCGGTCTCTTCCGGTGTTCCTGTAGTTACGAGTCTATATACCGCGTTTAAGGGGCTCCCCAAAAGCACTTACCTCTTTCCCCTCTCCCTCGCCCCACCCCCGTCTTAAAAAAAAAAAAAAAAAAAAAAAAAAAAGAAGTCACTTCTGTAGACTGGGCCCTGGCTTAAAGGATGCCTGCAGCTGTCCTGAGCAGCGTCTCAGTGCCTCGTAAAGGAGCGCGTTTGAGCACCACCAGTTTGGTGCCTGTACGAGTAATTTACGTAGTTGCGGAATAGTTGAGGTTAGAAGGGACCTCAGACTGGGACCTGATAATTGTTTGGGCCTCAGGTGATTTAGCCAGGCTGGGCTGTCTGTGAGAGTGTTGACATTCAGTGAAGTTAGCCATGCAGAGGTGAGCGCTGTTTTGTTAAGGCAGGTTTATGTTCAGCTGGTGAATCAAAGGAAATGTAAGCTGCATAATTTATCAAGCTAATGTTTAGATACATGTGATGGAAATATGAATTTGCCACCAGTTTTGGACCACACCTCGTTTCAGTTGATGTGATTTAAAATGCTTGCTGCTGCCTTATTTGGTGCACCAAACAGATGGTAACCTCTGTTCTATGCTTTCGTGTTAGCTCACTGAGTTTTTGTGTACTCCAGTACATGTAGTTTACATCCAGAAAAGTATACAGGCTTGGATCTGCTTTCCATGACTTCTAGTGTGCCACAAGCTGATGTTTTTTCTCTCTCTCTCTCTCTTTTTTTTTCTTCTTTCTCTTTTTATAAATTTGGCAGATACAAAAAGAGTTTTGCTTTTTGAACCTTGTATATGATTAGAGAAGTGAAATTACTGTTGGTTACTAGAAGTCTGTGCTAGCTCTGTTCAGAACCACTCGTGCTTAGGGGACTGAGGAAGCAGTCTGCATCTGGAAGCTGGAACTGCCACGTGCTCTTAGTTGCCCACTGTGTTTAGTAGCGTGGTGGAGGGCTTGGACATCGTAGTTGGTTTCAGGTTGATGTGTTTAAGAGTGTGCTAAAACATCCCTCAACAACAGTATGTGTGCGATAACCTTTTTTTTGTGTGTGTGTGTGTTTGTTAGCTGTTTATATTGGGCATAAACTGCAGGATTTTGGTAGCAGTGCGCTGGAGAAGTGACCTGTGTGGGTCGAGGCTGTGAACTGCCCTGTACCAGCCACAGCTGGGCTCAGCCATCGTGCAAAGCAGTAAGAGCCACTGCCTGCCAAGGGCCCAGGCAGTCAGAGGGGCTAGTGGTGCCTCTGCTCAGGCATGTTCAGGAGAGGACATCAGCCACCAGGAGCAGAACACAAGTGGATGCCCAGGAGGCAGACATTGAGCAGATCTCTGAAGAGATGCCTTGGGAGATACCAGAAATGGATGGCGTTTGTGGAAGATGATATTTCTGGGGCCACAACTGAACCTGCACTCTTGGAAGATGCTCCTTGTGGAGGAGAATACGTCTCCTTGGGACTGTGGCCTGTGGAGCACCCAGGCTGGGGCAGGCACACCCCTGAGGGGACTGGGGCCTGCAGGTGCCCATGCTGGTACAGAGATGAATGAGTAAGAAGCAGGGAGCAGTGGAGGAAAATGAGCAGCAAATAAGGAACAGCAGAAGGAAACCATTTAACAACCGCTCAGAAAAAGCTTTTATCTGCCCTTTCTCAACCTTATCTTCAGTGAAGCACCTCTCCTTCCCCCTTCCTACTTTTAGCAGCCCTTTTTTTTTCTGTCACACGTTATGCTCAGTGCCTCCCAGTTCTTGATGAAGCATCAGGCAGCACCTTTTTTTTGTGTTGTATGTGCCATGGGCTTGTATGTGCCATGCTTTCTTCTTCCTTGTCTCTTTGCGTGCCTCCTCAGGTGTGTCCTCTGGTGTCACTTGCCTCTTGCAACTGCTCTTGTGTTTGACCAGAGGTGCTATGCGCTCCCTGTCTGATCCTTTGCTCATGTTGGTTTTAGAGCCAGCTGGACACAGCGGTGACTGGTACAAGACAGTTCATGGTGTCCTCCCATGCAGGTTATCCCTGTGGCCTCTGCTGCCATAACTGTGATATATGCCCTGTACACTCCTTGAAAGTGGCTTTTGAGAAATTATGTCATTAATCTGCTTATGCTTTAAATGATGTAATAGAAGTAACTGTTCTCCCCCCCTTCCCTACAGAAGAATATACCAGTTGAAAATGATGTAAAGAGGGACAAGGATGGACTCACTGACCTCTATGTTCAACATGCTATACCACTGCCTCAGCGGGACTTACCGAAAAACAGATGGGGAAAAATGATGGAAAAGAAAAGACAGCAAAATGAGTTGAAAAGTGAAAATAAAAGGTAATTCAGCTTTTGGTGGAACACATCTGGGGTATTTAGGAAAATGCATTTAATTTAATGCTTAATTCCCTGGTAAGTAAAACTTGTGCAATTTTCGGACATATTGCCATTAACAGAGAATGCTGTTCAGATTTTTTCTGTGAAAGCATCACATTCTGCTGCTACAATGATAGGAAACAAAGCAAAGGGTATTTTTTGTTATCCAAATTTTGTTATCTAAATTTTATTCACGTATTCATTCACTTATAGGGCTTTAATGCTTCTTACCATGAATATGTCTAAGACGCTTAATGAGTTTTTCTTCATCGTAATTTTCAGTGTTGCATTATAATTGTTAGACGATGGGCATCTTAATATTACCGGAGAAAAATAGCAGTACTATATACGAAGCTGAACCTAGTTTAGTTTATGGATAATACAAACTTGGAGGTATACGCTGCAGTAGCTTTGTGTGTCCAGGTCAAATCCCATTAAAAATATATATACATACATATGTATATATGTAAGTCAAGTATATATAATATAAGTAACCATGCTGTTAATATAGTTCAGAAGTTAAATAAGTTGCTTCACCATGTGTACAGTAGAACTTTGGTGAGGGGTTCTCTGTGGAAAGCCCATGTCTCCAAAGTGCCCTGGAGCTGATGTGGGGCTTATGCAGAATTCACTAGTGCCTGTTTGCAGATATGAGGTAAAACTTCCCCCCCACCCCCGGAATTTGTAACTTTGTTTTGAATATTGTGTTTAGTTTTACTGCTGTTGATTGATTGCATGTCCTAGAAGAGCATATTGATTTTGTCCAAGAAAGTGAGCAACAAGTACCAACTTTCATTTAAGTGTGTGTATGTATATTTAAACTTATTCAAATAAGGTTACACCCTTTAATGTAATGAATGTGTTGAATACTGCTACTGTTCAATGAAACCTTGTCTGTGCCTGCTCTTAGAAGCTACTCATATTTCATAAGAGCTTCTAGAAATCACAGTTAGTGTAGTCATAAACCAAGGCTGTGTCCTGACGAACAAAGATCTCTCTCTGTCTGTCACTTCAGAGAACCTAATGAATGAAGAAAAGAAATAAATGAAAATAATAAAAAAGAAAAAAATAAAGGATAGCGTGGCATACGTTGTTAGGAAGAGGTAGTAATGTAGAAGCAAACTGGGAAAAGAGCTGAGCTTACTCTGTGAGCCCTTACTCTTTTCACTTTTTTCAAGAACTTCCCCAGCTGATGTAAGTTATCCAGCAGATGTGTACTTCCTGATGTTGATAGCTGCCGATAATCTTCACGTATTATTCTCATGTTTTTCCAAGTCAGACAAATGCAGTTTATATTTGCAGTTTCTTCTCAAGTCTGTCAAGTTATCTATCACCCAGTGTTGATAGATGCATTTGTTAATTTGTAATTAGTGCATTCAATGGTTGAAAACATAGTTCAGTGCTTATTTCTGTGTTCAATAAGTGAGATGTTTAGAAAGTGTGTACTGAAAACTGATGTTTCTAAACGCTAATGGTATATCACAAATAGAAAGCATCATTCCTTAAGTTAAATCTGCGCATTTCAGTGACTTTAGTTGTGCCATTCTTGAGCAATGCGTTTTTAGCTCACTCCAGACTAGTTAGAGTTCTGTGATAATTTCCTGCTTTGTCTTTCTCCCTTTTGTTATTTTGTAACATCTCTGGTGATACAAGCTCACAGTCTTTGATTGTGCAGCTTTAGTTGCCTACCTGAAATGTTACCCTCTCCCTCATGTTTGTTTGTTTTGTTTTGGAAGCAATTTCTATTGAATAAATACTTTCAGCTCTTCTAAACTTAAGGATGGTGTTGAAATATTTTTATGTTAGACAAGATTAATTTTCACCATTCAAGTCTCAGGTATGCTGTTTTGGGATCATCTAGCTTGTGTTTTGAGAATTTTACAATTTGTGTTTTTAGTGTTACAGCAGTGGAAGGCTTAAGGAAACGGCCGTTAATTGTCTTTGATGGCAGCTCAACAAGCACAAGCATAAAAGTGAAGAAGACTGAGAATGGAGCTGCTGATCGCCTGAAACCTCCCCCAGCTGGAAGCACCACCAACACTGTTAGAAGATTATCAGTTCCTTCAAATGCCTCAACATATATTTCAGCTTCTAGTTTATCAGAGGACGCTAAGATGGAATCTGGGAATAATGAGGCTAAGCAGAACAATATTTCAAAGACTAATAGCAATGTATTGGCTAGTTTGAAGGTGTATCCTTTGTCTGCAGTAGCTGGAACTACAGTTGTGAAATTAAAGAGAGCTATTCCAAAAGAAGATTCTGATTTGGGGGTATGTATGTTTTTTTGTTGTTGTTCTGCAACTTATTTTTTTTTAATGAAACCTGGAGCAGCCAAAAGTAAATACTTGTATTAGTTTCCAAGATTATTTTATGTTATTAGAAACAGGCAAAAGAGGAGCTATTTTGAAAGAGATGAGAAGTAAAAAAGATAAGTGCGTTGTACTTGTTCATGGGAAGCTCCTGTGTGAGAGAGGCAGCTTGACTGAAAACATGTGTTTTAAAATGAATAAATAAGTAATAAAGATGGTTCTGGTATGGTGTGAGAGAGGCAGCTTGACTGAAAACGTGTTTTAAAATGAATATATAAGTAATAAAGATGGTCTGGTATCAGAGTCAAACAAAGCACAAATAAAAGAACTTAGTCATGTAGGTATGCAAGAGGACATACAGTACAGTGTGCACAGACTTAGTGAAAAGATAAGTGGGAGTTTGAGTAGGGAAGAAAAAATCCCCAAATGACAACAAGTATTTGCAACAGTCTCAGTTGAATGGTTGAATAGGACAAGCTTTCATTTGTCAAAGGAAAGAAGATGATGTTATAGGAACTGAAGCAGCTGATGTTCAGAGTTGTAGAAAATACTGTTAGAGTAAAAAAGGCAATTTCTTTTAAATCTTGCAAGCTAGAGAGATGAACTGTGTGTGAATACGTGGAGAGCTACCTAGATTGTGTGTTTGAATCAGAATAACAAACCAGGTGAGGTGAAGAGGCAAAGGACACATGCTCCTTTTGGGCCTTAGTGATCTTAATTGGGTAGCTGGGCATCTGTGAGGAGATGAAAGATATGCTGAGATCTTAAGCAGAAGGAAGCTGTTCTCACGTAGGAAGGCTGAACACCAAGCTGCTAAAAGTGAAGAACATAGCTATTTACCTTTCTAGGAGTTAGATTCAGCTGCAAACAAAATATATATAAAGGAGAGGCCTCTACCGGACACATGGTAAGCTGATGTGCTGAAGTCTTGAGAAAGGAACTTAGGCAGAGCCAAGTTGTGACCTTTGGAGGAAAAACACTTGGCAAGGATAGGTAATAGTGCTAACAGAGTTGCAAGGTGAGGAGGAAAATGCAGCAATGGTCCTGAGTTTTGAGAAGGGTGTGATTCGTGTTTAAGTGCTTGTCAGGGTTGAAGGAGCAGAGCCAAATAAAGGGCCGTCTCCTTGTTGAGACCTGCTGTAAGGTAGGGATAAACTTTGTTGTGTTCCTTCATGATGTAAATGTATTCTAAATTAATACAGGAGTTGCTTGACATTTAAACAGGAATGTGGGGATTCTTTGGAATCAGACAGAGCCTCAAAGGCTGTTCTCAGTAGAATTTCAGGGGGAGTTCTAGATCTGGTGTGCAACTGTATTAACTGAAATTTTCTTAGGAGAGCAGACCTAATGTCAGTTGATCTCTTAATATTGCCTCATGCAGTGCTTTCCATTTATCTTTCTTAAATCCTTTTATGGAAGAATGCAGGTAATATCTTCGCTGCGTAGATTGGGGGTTCCTTCAGACTTTTATTGAGAATGAGCACCTAATTACCTGTGCTTGTTCTGAAAGCTCTAAAGTCCTTCACAAAAAACATGGTTGAGGCCCTGAATCAAATTCATCCTGGAGAGAGGCTTCCTACTATGAATAGCACTATTTTAATACTTGGAACTTTTCTAAATATTTGCAAGATCAAGAGCCTTGTGAAACTTGATTAACGTTCAGCACAACGCTTCTTCATACTTCATTTAAGTGACCCGCTTCTCTTTAGGTCTAAATCTTTAAACCTTTCAGTGGTTGAGATCAATTGGAATGCTGCAGATATATGTAACATACTATCAGGATTTTATGTTGGTATCATTAAATTTCTAGAACATGTTCCCCAAGCCATTGTTTGAGAATGCGCTGTAAAACTTGTATTTCTGTCTTTACTTTGCATGTCAGATTATAGCTCAAATTTCTCCGTTTTTTCTTAGTTTAGGTAGTGGAAGGTAGAAGGTAGTTTCACACTTCAATTTCCAGTTGTTTGAATTTGGACTTGACATAGTTTTTTTTAAATATGCCTTCATTTGTGTCTTAAGGATTTGTTTAGCATTTTTGTACAAGTCATTACAAAGAAAATCTACTTTTCCAACATGTTTATTAATTGGCATAGGTAAATTGGTTCCCCCCCCCCTTTTTTTTTTTTTTTTTTTTTTTTTTAGTATTTTTAGCAAGCAATGTG